AATTTTTAATAATGATTTCTTATATTTTTATAATGATTGTTTTTATATATTTGTTTTATTTGATTGTTGTACGCTGCCCAGAGTCACTTCCTGTGAGATGGGTGGTTATTTGTTCAATAAATAAATAAATATTGAATCCAAAGTATCATTGCATTATCTTATGAATCTGCACTGGTGCCCATCAGAACACAATGCACCAGAGGTGTTATTTCTCCTCATAGTATTTCTTTGCCAAACTTGAATAAAACAGCAAAACAGTCTTAACTGTCTACCTTTCTCAGGTATTATAGCATCAGCATTCAAGCCCAGGCAGTTCATCCTTCAAATGAACTTTTCTCTGGGTTGACATAACAAAAATACTTGCTTCATCTTTTAAACTTGCTAATCACCTATATGTGTGATGCACAGAGACCATGATGAAGAACAGTTTGCTTATCTGTAATTGTGGGTCTTTGGTCACCTATACATTCATATAGCCCGCTCTTTCTGTATTAATTGCACATTAACTTTAGAATTTTAGAAAACTGAGGAGAGTGGGAGCCATGCCCAAGAGCAGGGCTCCAGGCAATGGCTTTACACAGGCATATTTTCAATACAGGTGAATGTATAGCTGACCACTTGAAGAACCAGTTACAGGTAAGCAACCTGTTCTTATTAAAGACTATATTACAAACCCATATTTAACAATTGGCACACACAAAATACAATAAATGTTTTTAAATGTTATATTACAGATTAAAATGTCAACATTTTTATATATATACATATATATATGTATATATAATATACATACATACACACACACACACACACACATACCCACACAACATATATTCAATGATTCCATCATGGAGAACTTTACAGAGTAATCCTATTACCTGAAGTACTGTATGTTTCCTTTTTTATTAAACAAGGAGATTCTGGCTTCTCTACAACATATGCAGCAACTGCTTTGCAGACAGACTGAAAGAAATACCAGAATTGAAGTGGAGTTGAATAAACTAAAAGAAGAATATCAGGTAAAATGTTGACTCTGTCTCCATGCTAAATAATTACAATGAAAAGTTCTAAAATAAAATTTACATGCTTTGCAAAAATTACATCAGGTAGTATACAATGAATTCCTCCCATTGATGGAATGGCTTCTGTCAGTGGAAAGAGGAGGGAGCCAATTTTCTATCCCTCTGAAGCCTACCATTTATGCTCCAAAACTGCTCTAAGATTTCCCCTAGTGCATTTCCCCTAGTAATGTAGATTATATTTTGACTTTCTGCCACATTCTGGAATTATTAAGATGCTCATTGAAGCAACTTTTCCTGAAATTCAAGCTTAAAAATATGTTTTGCATGGAACATTTACCTAGTTTGTGTTCATGCTTATGCAGTTTTTTGTGGTATTATTTTCTCGTTCCCCCAATAAAACCTTCACTATGAACCTAGACATTTACAGTTCACATGTATAAATATTCTGATATGTTTCTTCAATAAGTCTAATAGATAAAATTATTAATATAATAAAGAGTTCTAATTTTAAAAGTTGAAAGATGGGATATAAGTAGTGAATTGCAAAAACCCTGTAGTCCTCATTTACCAACCGCTTATCCAGTAACTGTTCAAAGTTACAATGGCTCTGAAAAAGGAGATTTATAACTGGTCCTTGAAATTGTGGCTGTTGCAGCATCTCCGCGGTCATGTAATCGCAATTTGGGTGCTTGGCAACCAGCGTGTATTTATGATGGTCGCAGCATCTTGCGGTCATGTGATTGCCATTTGTGACCTTCATAGTTGGCTTCCAACAAGCAAAGTCAATGGGGAAGCTGACAGTGACATCGTGCTTAACAGCCCTGGGTGATTTACTTAACAACTGCAGCAGGAACTGTCAAACTGATGTCATAAGTCAGGCACAGTCACATGACATTTCACTTTACAATCGTGTTGCTTAGCGATGGAGTTGCTGGTCCCAATTACGGTCAGTAAGTGAGGACTACCTGTACTTATTTCTTAGAAATTGATCAGGGTTTCATGCTTGCAGAATGTGGTACCATTAAAGTTAATAAGAGAATAGGAGCAATAACATTTTGGTTATAATATTTTAAAATATACATTTCTAAATGTAATGTGCATAGTCATAAAAAATGTGATTGATTGTCAGGCCTAGCCCAAAGAACTGGAGACCATGCAGGTTCAATCACCAAGGTTTATTTGCCAGCACCTGCTTACAGAAATCTTCTCAGACTGACCAGCAGTTCCCAGGCACAACTCTCTACTATCTTCTGG